CCTCCCCCCTTTCCTCCCCGTCCTTGCCTCCCGGGTTAGGCAGCGGCCCTAAAGGAGAAGATCAACAACTTGGAGGCGGCCCTGGCGCAGGTGGGTGGGGAGCAGGGGGGGAAGCGGGGGGGGAGCGGAGCGGGCCTTATGGTGCAACTCCGGGGCCCAGTACGCCAGGGATAGTGGTTAACCACATCCCTGATGCAGTTCCTAACTAATTAACTAACTTAACTGCCGCCCGGGGGCTCCTTAACGGTCTCCACACACCCTCCGTCACCCCCGGGTCCCCCCCTCCCCTGTGTATCCCGCCACGATGAGCAGTCTCGCAACCAGATGTCCCTGGGGTACACGGACCCCGTCAGCTCGGAGTTCAAAAAGGCCTCCAGCGTGCAGCTCCGGAACCTGGTGCGAGTGAGCGAGGATGAGGCCACTAGGAAGGCGGCCTTCGAGGTAAGTGGGACTTTGGGGGGGGGGAAAGCCGTGGGGGAGGGCAGAGGAGGATAGGGGGCGGGAAATAAACGGGAGGGGGCAGCAAGGTCAAGAAGGGGAAACGACACCTGGCCCGGTGACCAAAGTTAGAGATGGGTAAAGCGAAGGGGGAGGAGAGGAATGGGAAGGGGGGGGGGATAGAGCCCAAAGGATCTAATAAATGGGGGGAGGGAAAGCAAGAGGGGTGGGAGGGCTAAACCTGGGGGGGGGTAAATTAACCCCTGGGTGCTTGGAGGGAAGGTAGGGGAGGGGGGAGGCGGGGAAGGATTTTGCCCCCATTGTCATTTGATCGATTAAAGAGCGAAACGTTCAGCTGTATGCAGGGATGGAGCTGTATGGAGCCCGCCCCCTTTCTTCGGTACCCTCTTGCCCTGGCAGCAGCTTCACTCGTTCGTGGTTCGTCTTTCCCTCCCCCCCTTTTCCTCACCGGACACTGGACACCGGCAGTTCACTTCTCCACTTTCTCTCATACGATTCCCCCAAAATAGCCTTTTGTCATGTCACCCCACCCCACCCCACCCCACCCCACGTCGCCTTCCTGGCCCCTCTCTCCGTGCGGTGCCCCCGCAGGGCCTCCGCTCCATCGGGCCGTTCGTGGGCGCGCAGTTCCTGGAGATCGTGAAGGAGCGCAACAAGCTGGCGAGACTGCTCGGATACGAGGACTTTTACGATTACAAGGTGTGCATATGATACGTGCCAATGATACGTGTTTTAATGAGTGTGTGTTTTCGTACATGTACGACAGTTTGGGGGTTTATATACACCTAAATGAACCCCTC